ACCTATGAAGCTGCTATGTGATAATAAGTCCGCTATTTGTATAGCTCATAATCCAGTCCAACATGATCGGACTAAACATATTGAGGTTGACCGCCATTTCATCAAAGAGAAACTTGATAGCGGGTTGATTACCGCTCCATACATTCCCACTGGGCGTCAATTAGCTGATCTATTAACAAAGGGGCTTCCTTCAGACAGATTTCAAGAACTTACTAACTAGCAAGCTGGGAATGATAAATATCTATTCCTCAGCTTGAGGGGGAGTGTTGTAAATAATAATTATTTAGTTATTATTTAGTCATTTATTTGTTGTATTGGGCCAAGCCCATTAGGTTAAAATTAGGTCAAATATTCTCTATAAATAGAGAACCCTTTGTACAGATTATTTACAATTCTATAATATATTAGAATACCATTTTTCAAGTATTATATTTGTTATTAAAATTATTTAATGGTTGCATCTCTTGAGACTGTTGTACATGTTTTTTGGTTTAAGATTGTGATTCTCTTACTTTTCATTGTTGACATGGCACATGGCAATGAAGTAATTTATGTTAAATTTGTCAATTTAGTATACTTGTTAAATTATATTTTATTTAAAACTCTATAAGTCGGATTTGTTAAATTTTCGCCCCCCCTTCATATAATTATTTGGGTCCGCCACTGCATAAGATGGCAATGAGTCAAGTTATATTCATATTTTAAGTTTTGGGTTGAAATATGGTGTCGGATTCCCGTGATATGGTGGTATAGCCTTAGACCATTGGTGGTAATCTCATGCTATATGCCCCTCCTGGACCCACGACATTGGTATTAGAGTTGGGTTGGTCACTTGGGCTAGCGAGGTGTTTGGTTAGGATGCAGGTTGAGTACTTTGGGTCTGGGTCTGAATACTCACTGGAGAGGAGCATACATGTTGGATTTTACAGTGATGAGTTCTAAATTGGTTGGTAATATAAGAGAATCCATGAACCCAATATCTTAAGTTTTGGATTGAGGTATAGTATCAGAATCACTTAATAGGCTAATATAGACTTAATCCATTGATGGTAATTTCTCACCACGTAAGGCTCCTCCTGAACTCCCCATACAAATTAAAATCCCTTTACCTTTAGGGATCGTTTGATACGCGAATTTTTTCCGGAAGAACCATCCAGAAATCAAAACCTGGATTTGGTGTGATGGCAAAGTCAAGCCGCAACAGGAAGAACAGAACCCTGCATGGCAAATTGCGGATGAATCTCATCATTCTCGTGTGAAAAAAGTCTAACGTGTCTCTTACTGCGGTATAGCCGCAGATTCCACGGAGTCACAGCTATGAAGAATGTTAGAGAAGAATAAAATTAATTTGTAGTATAAATCTCATTCGTAAACCCTTTTGGCTGCACTTAAGTTTTAAGAACATGAGGTAGTTGATAAATGCTGATATCATATTAAAAACCAAGAAAAATGGCTGCGTATGTGTTCCATTTCTTTTCTTTTGGGTGTAATCCGTAAATCGACATTGACAATGAAACCTCAGAAGGACCATTTGCAGAGACACTAACTATGTTTTGGAGATAGAGTAAACTATTGTTTAGGTACTCAAAAAAAATTCACGGACCCAATTTTTATTCCTTATGTAAAGAACCTTGAGGTCACCAATCCAAAAGGTGAGAGTGTCCAAGGCCTTATAAAGGCCTAGCTAGCTCAAAGGGTGGGAGTGTCCAAGGCCTTATAAAGGCCACATTAGTTGCACATACAACCAATGTGGGACTATCTATCTCAACATGTGGGACTATATAACTCAACACGCCTCCTCACACGAGAGCCCATTGGGCTTGAAGAGTGGACAATGCAACAGGCTCAGTCTGCTAAGAAACGCCACAAGAGAAAATGGGGGGCGACGAGGCTCTGATACCATGTAAAGAACCTTGGGATACACCACCCCAAAAGCTAGCTTAAAGAGTGGAAGTGTCTAAGACCTTATAAACTCCACATTAGTTGCACATACAGCCAATGTGGGACTATATATCTCAACACCTTAGGTAAAAGAAAATTGACTTGTCCATCTAAAATTTAAAATAGACTCAATTAGTCGAAATCGTAGTCCTTTGAAATTCAAAGAAGACTCGCGTTAGTCCCTCAAAAGGTCTAACCCTCAAAAGGACTAACATGAATCTATTTTAAACTTTAAAATGACTACGAGACAATTCTTTTTTTTCTAAGAGATTAAATTGAGTGGCATGATATTTGTTGAGGATCCGAAAGCTACTTTAAATATTAGAATTAGCACTTCCATGTGACATTAAAATTAGGGGTCATGCCGATTGCCCGAAAGATTTTTCTTACTGTGACATGATATGGTGAGAGAATATGTGCTTAAAGGACCTCTATATACCTCACAAATAAGGTTCCTAAAGCACATGATGTTTGGGACAAAATGATGCATGTGATGGTTGAAAATTGCGTTTCACTGTCATCCAAACCCTCACCAAAATAGGTTAATGTATGGATCACCTGACTCCACGATTATCCACTGCCTTCCTCTATTTAAGGAATTTCACACCCAACCTCATCGCTTCCCCTCTCTAACTAACCATCTTCCCCAGTTCTTCTGATATTGCATATTCATCCAATCATGTTCATTATTATCTTTTTGCCCTCTCAATTTTTTATTTTTTATTTTTTACATGGTAGATATAATGTCGACCCAACTAATTTAGAATAAATGTGATACGTACAGATATTAAAGTTATATGTAAGTTACCTTGGTAGAATAGGAAAAAAGTTATATAGTGAAAATATCATAAAATTTTTGTGAAGTACTTTTTGAGTTATCAACAAAAATTACGAAATCCATTTTAATCTTTTAGAAAAAAAAAAATTGACTTATATTCCCCCTAAAATTTAAAATAGATTCAGTTAGTCGAAATTGTGATCCCTCTGAAATTTAAAAAAGACACACATTAGTCACTCAAAAGTACTAACATGAGTCTATTTTGAATTTCGGTGGGACTTCAAATCAATTTTTTTTTTCTAAAGAATTAAAATGGACCCCATAATTTTTGTTAAGGACCCAAAAGATATTTTATTCTGAAATTTAATATGCTTGGGCTTGGGCCAATTAAGCTGTAAGCTCTTTGGCTAATTTTGTGACCTCTTAATAAAAGTCACATTAACGTAATAAGCGTCACATACTTTGATGTTATAATCTGACATAAGAATTTTGGGTTTTATTAGTGTGATGTAATATAATGTAAGTGTTGTTTCTAACTCTTACATCAAAAAGGAGAGAGAAAGTGGAATTATGAAAGAGAAAGAAAAACATGTGGACCCCACCTCTTTAATGTGTGTGTAGGAAAGTAAAGTTATATTATGTTAAATGATAAACATAAAACCCAAGAATTTTTTTAACATAGGAAAAGAGTAGGACCATATTTCAATTTGCATATTGTAGATAAGATGATGGACTCTGAGTGAGTGGTTGGGCAAGCACATGGATGATACTACGTGAAGAAGTCAGTCCCTCCCTCTTTTTTGATAGTTACTAGGCAATGGTACTAAGACCGTACGCCACAACTTGTTTTAGGTATGCTCTTGAGGGAGAGTGCACTTGCAAATATCCTTTTCAAACGCGTCTTTAATTTATTACCTTATTAAGAAGCCATGCATTTTGATCCCTCACTGCTATGTGTCACTCAGATTATAACTTTGAGGTTAAGGGGACACAACAATGGTTAAGGACTAAGATTTCCGAATCCAATTGAAAATCCATGACATGATTGAAAAATTTTCCTGTATAAGCACTGCCTATGGTAGGTACATTAATTAGGAACTCAAATGCTCAGTGTAGGCTTAAATCTTAAGGAAGTGCCTACTACAAACATTGCTTACATAAGGCATTCTTTATACAAAAAGTAGAAGGAAATTCCTTATGTAATTTGAATCTCGATGGGGGAAAATAAAATCAGACATGTCAATAACAAAATATCTAATCAATAGCGCTATTAAGGTTGGGGTCCACTTTTTATTACTCCTACCACAAGCATTGCTTATACACAAAAGGCATTGTTCATACAAAAAGTACAAGGAAATGGACCACTCACGTAATATTTGAATTTCGATGGGAAATCAGGCATGTTCCATAACAAAATATCTAATGGATATTTGCGCAATTAACGTTTGGGGTCCACTGATAAGTTCGTAAATTATGCACTATGACCAGCTTTTCTCCCTTCTATTTTATTTTATTTTATTTTATTTTATTTTATTTATTTATTTTTTGTCAGTAGTATCTGATGTGAATATCATGTTTTTTTCCTACAAGAAACTCAAAAATAAGAATAGCAATTTGGATTGACACGATATGATACAATATCTCATGAATTTGATCCGAACACGACATGAATTTAAAATCGGATTAAAATATTTGATACAAACACAACCCGTTTATTTTGCAAATTGACATGACACGAAACGAATAACCCCCATAACTTTAAAGTGTGTTGCTTATTGTGCGAGTTGACATGATTCGAAATGATACGAATAATTTGTATACATCTAAGTATATATGTTGCTTATTATGTGGGTTAATACGACACGATAAGACGCAAATAACTTATTTATAACACGAGCTAACACGAATAACCTGTAAAAGATTAAAATAGGTCAATTTCGAGTTCACGAGTTGACAAACAATACGACACAAATTTTTTCATATCAATTTTTGTTAATACAAAAATGACACATTTATAAAACAGATTGACCTTAACATAAATTTCCGTGTCGTGTTAAAAGTTATCACATGCTCAAAAGGTATAATTAAAAAATGAATAAAACATAAGCACCAGAAAGATGGGAGAAGAGAAGGACGATGTCCAGTATAACTAATAACTATAATAACTACCATTAGGACGTTCATAAATATCAAGCACCAAACTTCCAATCATAACAGATGAAAAAGGAAATAGGAAAATGAAAAAAGAAAAAAAGAGAAAAGAAAGGAGATAACAGTAGGAAAATAGGTTCTGCTCAGAGACAAAGTGAGGGAAGCTCAAAGTAGCCATCAGCAAAAATGTCTCTATTCCCACTTTCCTTGCACCTGCTTTGTCTCGCAAACTTTGTCATTCCCATCTCTTCCTCAGCAATCTCAACGTACTCTTCCAACTCCTCCTCCTCCTCCTCCTCCTCCTCCTCCTCTTCTTCTTCTTCTTCTTCTTCTTCACCTTCTCCTTTATCATCAGCTACTTCATCACCACAACAAATGGCAACACTCTCAAAAAGTCGAAGCCTGAGCCTGCCATTAACACGTTCAGCTTGAAAATAAGGTTGAGGAGAAGAGGAAGTTACAGCTTCCATGATTAGCCTACCATCTTCACGATGAGACCTAACTTGAACCCCTCCCATATCAGTAATTGAAGTCAGTGGAGGTGGAAAGCTACTAACTCGGTTCAATCTTTTAGACTCAGAATTTCTGTTAACAAGTGGAGTATCTTTCGTGAAACTTGAGCTACTTTCAAATGAAAACAAAAACATGCCATGGCTGTTATCACTGGCATTATTAGCATTACTACCAGTTTCGCAGCCTAGACTTTCAGTGCACAATTCCAAGCTCTTTGCACTGAGCATCGAAGAGGAGCACTTAACAGCAGGGTGAACATACACATTCTCAGCTTCAAGCTCCTCATTTTTTTTACAATGAGAAATGTTGGAGAGAGCATGAAGAAAACTCCAAGCTGGTTCAGAAACTTTGTCCCTTTTGGTGTCATGTTCATCGTTTGTTGTGGCTGGAGTGTTGGTGAGGGTGTCAGAGTGTGAGGGAGAGTAAATGGTGCTAGTGGAAGAGCTAGTCCGTTCAGAGTTGATCCCTGGTGGAGCTAACTTGAGGTTCAAGACACGTGGTTCGAGAAGCCCTGGTTCAAGACAGGATTGTAACCCTTGATAGACACTTGAGTAAGACATTTATTTGCCTTATCCACAATGGAAAATGTCCAAAGGCTGAGGAAAGGAACAGAGGAGCTTAGTTTAGTTTAACTAAGGGGAGAAGGGAAAAAAAACTTGGGTTCTGTAGTGGAGGAGAGGGAGTTAAATGAAAGCAATCAATTGATTTCTTGGCTCAAATTGAAGATGGATTCCTTGGAAAAGAGAGAAAGATGCAGATTGGGAAGAGATGAATGGAAATGAAAGAGAAGTGTAAAGGGTGGGTCTGTATTTATAGTGGCCACCTTGTAACTTTATTTTCTAGTGCGGAGAGGGTCCCTAACAACACCAAGAAAGTGACATATTTATTTTACTCAGGCCACATGTTAGGGAAAAAAAATTAAAGCCACACACAGACACAGATAGAGAGAGTATGAGCTTGATTGCATAATTATACTGTAGTAACCTTCTAATTCCACATTTATGAAAATGTTTCAATTAAGTCCCTTGATTTTGTGTAACTGCTTCACACTCTAAATTCAACATTTTAATTACAGAATTCACAAAATTGTACTAGTTCATTGTAAAATTTAGAAGCATAAGGACCCTGCTTGAAAATAAAATTGTAGCGAATAAAGTAAAGGAAAATAACGAGCGTGCATGTAGACCGAGTTGGGGGGGGGGGGCGTGAGAACTTCGGAGTACCTTAGACAAGCATATTAACCTTTGACACATGTAAAGTTACGTTATCAAAGATGGGAAAAGATCCGTTCACAAACTTTTTTGACAAATTTTTACAAATTACATTATCTTCTCTCTTGGGAGAACATGTGAAACTTAGTGTTCTCCCGGAAGAATATAACCTATCACATCAAAGATATGTATATTTTTAGGGTTTACTGTTGGAAAAATGTTTGAGTCCCCAACTTTATTGTGTCGCTGTAAAAAACTTTTATGCAACCAATTATAATTATATATTAAGACTAATATACAGTTGTAATATTAAAGTTATTTTTTCTCTTTCTGCTATACCAACCTCAGCCTTTTGAGGAGACAGAAAAAAATAACTTTTAAAATTATAACTATATACTACTCTTAGTATATAGTTATAATTGGTTGCTGCAAAAAATATCTTTTGCAGTGAAAGGAAAAATACATTTTTTAATGTTTCTCATATTATAGAAGATAAATTTATCTCATACACATATATAAAAGTGTGTGGCGTTCATGTTTTCTTTCTCTTTTTCTCTTCTCCTCTATGGGACCCACACACTTTTATGAGTGCATAGGAAATGAATTTATCTTACATCAGAAACATTAAATGCATATTTTTAACATTGACTATACAATTTTATACATGTCAAATGTTGAATTTCATTCCGAAAATATGAAGTTCCCATTAAAATTTCTCAAATGTATATTAACAAAATAAGGTAAAATTCATGGGAAAGAAAAATACGGACTATAGTTGCATGGAATTGGAGTTGAATGTATCTATGGAACTGTTCTGTTCTTCAAATGAATGCCTTTGTGGGTTTAAAAAAGACGGTATGGTAATTCCATCGATATCTACTTCATTCCTTTCCAAAGAGGGATTTCTTCACTCATTTGAATTTCCAAGCAGAAAACCAATTTCCTGAGGGGGAAATAAACCGGCGGTTCTGTATTTGTCAACTTTGATGTTATTATCATTTCTTTCCTTACGTATTATTTCCTGCTTTAACTTCCCCTTCAGATACAAATAATAGTAGTAGTAATAAACTTTGGTGTTATCATCATTTCTTTCCTTTGAAGATTCAAATATCAGCGGCTCACAATTTGAGATGAAATTTAGATAAAGTCTCGATCTCCACTTAGTTACAATCATGACATTGTAGAGAAACAATCTTCGACAATTTTTGTGAACGCATTGCTGTTGTTTATTGCACCATCTAGTATGTTGAGAAAAGGCACAGAGCTTGTACATTTGGTGTACATCAAATTTGTCCTATGGAGGATGAAATGTGTTGGTATAGGGGGTGCTCATAGTGGCAATGGTAGAGATCAAAGCACTAGTGAAGCTTTCCATGGTGTGCATAAGGGGATGTGTGGAAGTGGCTAAGATAGCTCTCAATGGTAGCAGCGCATGAAGTTAAATGGAGGAGAAGAGCCCCTTCCTCAATGTGAAAGGAGATATTTAGAGTAGAAGCTCTAATCAACCTAACAAGCTTAACCTTTTCAGGCTAGGCATGTTGAATCCCTGCTAGTGTGCAGGGGTAGCCATGTACATGGAGAAGAAGAGGAATCATATGTTGCTTTTGTTAGAAATCATGCTTTAGAAACTGCAATATTTTTAATTATTTAGGAGTCAGTTTTTATTTCTGTTTTAATGAGTTGTTAAGTAGTGAGCAGTTACTTTTCTGCTTTAATGGGTAGTTATGAGGTGAGCAGTTTTCTTTTCTATTGATGGGAAGTTATGTAGTCGTGAGCAGTTTCTTTTTATTATTTTCTTTATAAGTTGTATTGTTATGCATCAATAAAGTAGTACCTCATTTCTCAATTATATTTTTCATCTCCAAAACCAACAATTGGTATCAGAGCCCTTTTCTTACGGGACCTGTAGAATGGATTATGAAACAAGTTTTTCCCAAGCAGCTCTTCCAGTTTTCAATGGGGAAAACTATGATCTTTGGGCCGTCAAAATGGAGGCTTATCTAGAGGCTTTGGATCTTTGGGAAGCTGTGGAAGAGGATTATGAAGTCCTTCCTCTGCCGGACAATCCCACCATGGCCCAGATCAAGAATCATAAGGAGAAAAAAAACCGAAAAGCAAAGGCAAAATCATGCCTTTTTGCTGGTATCTCTACAACCATCTTTACTAGGGTCATGACTCTCAAATCGGCAAAAACAATTTGGGACTATCTAAAGGCAGAATATGCTGGAGATGAAAGAATTCGAAGCATGCAGGTGCTTAACTTAATGAGGGAATTTGAGATTCAAAGGATGAAAGAGTCTGAAACAATCAAAGAATACTCAGACACATTGTTGGGCATTGCCAACAAGATAAAGTTACTGGGCGGTAATTTTGCAGATTCCAGAATTGTTGAGAAAATTCTGGTAACAGTGCCAGAGAGGTACGAAGCATCTATTGCTTCGTTGGAGAACACAAAAGATCTGTCTAAAATTACTTTTGCAGAAGTGCTACATGCTCTCCAAGCCCAAGAGCAGCGAAGATTGATGAGGGAAGATCATGCTATTGAAGGTGCTCTTCTAGCCAAGAGCCAACAAACTAATTACAACAAAGGAAAGGGTGAAAAGAAAAGTTACCCACCTTGTCAGCATTGTGGCAAAATGGGTCACCCTCCTTTCAGATGTTGGCAGAGACCTGATGCTAAATGCATCAAGTGCAATCAAATGGGGCATGAAGCAGTCATATGCAAGAGCAAAAATCAACAGCAAGAGGAAGAAGCTAAGGTTGCTGATCAAGAGGAGGAGGAGGAGGATCAACTCTTTGTGGCAACGTGTTTTGCAAGCAGCGAAGAGAGTGAGAGTTGGCTGATTGACAGTGGCTGCACAAATCATATGACCAATGACAGGGAGCTTTTCAAAAATTTAAAGCCAACCAATATCACCAAAGTCAGAATAGGCAATGGTGATTATATTTCAGTCAAAGGAAAGGGGACTGTTGCAATAACAAGTTGCTCAGGTACAAAGTTTATTCCTGATGTCCTTTTTGTACCCGAAATTCAACAAAATCTGTTGAGTGTTGGCCAATTGATTGAAAAAGGATTCAAAGTGCTTTTCGAAAATAGAGTTTGTCTCATTCACGATGAGAATGGAAAGGAAATCATCAAAGCAAAAATGAGAGGCAAGAGTTTCTCATTTGAACCAATCAAGGAGGAGCAAGCTGCACCAATCAAGGAGGAGCAAGCTGCTATTTCCACAGAGGAGAATGTGACTGAGACTTGGCACAAGAGACTAGGCCATTGTCACCTCTCAAATATGTTGTTGATGAAGAAGGAGCTTTCAGATGATTTACCAACCTTTGCAGATTATTTACCAACCTTTGCAAATTGTAATGCCTTTCAATTTGGCAAACAAAACAGAAATTCATTTCCTAAGTCAAGTTGGAGAGCCTCCAATAAGCTGCAGTTGATCCACTCAGATGTTTATTTTCATGAAGATAAGAAGTGGAACTGGAAACAAGCACAAGAGGCATCCATGAGTAAGCAGAAATCAGGTCCTCTCATCCAAATAAGCAAAGAGCAAGGAGTGGAACATTGGCAAGAAGAGTTAGAAGATGACCCACCAGACCCACCAATTCGTGGAACAAGGTTGCTGTCCAATATTTATCAAAAATGAAATGTAGCCATTTGTGCACCTGCAAGCAAATTTGAAAATCTAAGGAAGAAGATTGGTGTTTGCAGCTCCAAAAGCAAGGAGGAGTGTTAGAAATCATGCTTTAGAAACTGCAATATTTTTAATTATTTAGGAGTCAGTTTTTATTTCTGTTTTAATGAGTTGTTAAGTAGTGAGCAGTTACTTTTCTGCTTTAATGGGTAGTTATGAGGTGAGCAGTTTTCTTTTCTATTGATGGGAAGTTATGTAGTCGTGAGCAGTTTCTTTTTATTATTTTCTTTATAAGTTGTATTGTTATGCATCAATAAAGTAGTACCTCATTTCTCAATTATATTTTTCATCTCCAAAACCAACAGCTTTCTAGAAGTGGACTTTTTAGACTAGACCAGTTCTTGAGCCTATGTATGTGAGCTATCCAGAACAGAGCTCTTCTCTGAATATAAGATATATGCTAGTTTTTAAAGTCAACCGACCAAACAAAAGTAACCGATGGAATAGATGATAAAAATATTTAAGCAATCCTCACTTTCATGTCTTCTAAGCTAAGAGGTCCCTCAAAACTTTTCTTGACTTCTTCCATTAATCATGAATTTTACAAAACATTCTTCAAATTCTATGGTTGTATATTTCTGGTCAGAGAAAAAGACATTTTATTACTTTTCCCTCCTTGTCCTTGGCCTTTCTAGTGGCCGAATTTCGACTTAACAATTAGCCAAAATTGTACGGGAAATGTATATATTACTTGGGTTAACGCATTCAAGAAGATTGACACACAAGTAGAAAGCTATTAAATTTGTTTGGACTTTCCATTGCACACAAAACGTGCAAATTCATGCAAATTTTGACTCTCACGTGTAGAATTAAAGGTGTCCCTGGAAATATCCACTTTAGCTTTATTTTAATGAACAATAATGCATCAACACACTATCATTGTTGTTAAAATCTCGATTTATCACTACGATTTTACGTTTTTACGATTTTTTCCATCAAAACGATTTTACTAATATTCAAAACGCTTTTACGATTATTTTTACATTACGATTTTACGTTTTACGATTTTTTAATCTCTTTCCGATTTTATTTAAGATCTCGATTTTAAAAACATTGCACACTACACTATTGCCTATGAGGTATCACGAGAAGCTGTCTACTTGCATCCACTTAGACATGGATTCACACACAAAAGGAGCAAGTTGTATGTGGCTCTTACACCAAGCGGGAGCTTAACATAAACGACTAGCACTGCCTTGTCTCATGACCGAGAAAATATCTTAAGCGCACCTGTTAGTTAAGGGGAGCCAAATTTATAAATCTCATTGATGATTTTTTTCATCCCACTTTTAAGTTTATACTTTATACCTAACTGACCCTAAATATTGGAAATAGTAATCTTTCTTTAGCTATTCGTGTCTGGTTATTTATATGATGTCCAAGTCCAACTAACCCATGGTACTTTAACAACCTTCTATACTATTGGCCTTTCGTCCAGATATTGCAATAATGCTTTGGATATTTTCTCTGCAAATCATCCAGCTTTTCTCACCGTTAACCTAATACTAATGGCTTTATCTCCATTAATTTAATATATAATTGAGACAATAATTGCTCAAAACTAATGATGTAAAAATCGGATCGGCCTAGCTGGACCGACCCGGAACCCGGTGAACCGGTCATCTGATCGGTTCAGTTATCACATTGGATCGGTTAAGTACCAGACCCGGTGCAACCCAGTCAGTTTTGGTGAAAACCGATGACCCGATCGATTAATCGGTGACCCGACCCAATTTATTTAAAAAAAATATTTCAAAAAAAAAAGTTTTTCAAAAAAAAAAATCATAATTGACATATTTGAGTGATCTGTTGTTTATTGACTTACATAAATTATGTACATACAATACTAATATTATCTCAATTATCACTATGCAAGAAATTTTGATTTTATTTATAATTAGAGATGTCATTTACTGAACATGAAACACCAATATCACAAGCATTATATGTTTGTTTGATCCTTTATTGAACAATAATGTATAATTTATTATTTTAGAATTTATATTATTATTTTCAGTCATTTGAGTATGTTTATAATTTTTTTAATATAAATTATAAATTTACATATAATCTCCGGGTCATGTAGTTAAATCAGTAACTCACTAGTTGAATCAGTGACCCAATAACCTAGTATCTCGACCGGTACGATAAACACATTAAAATGTCCATACCTTATTAGCAATGGTCAAGTCACATCAGTTTATAATCAGATAATGGAAAGAATGTAAAACATTGTCCACAATCAGTTTTTCCGCATCTAACCTTAACTAGCATAGATAAGTTGATTGATTGTGTGGTCCCTCTTATCTTCGCAAACTACTAACATTAGTTGCAGGACAAAGGGTGACGCAGAACATCAATTATATTGTACCAAGATTAGTTTTGAGACATAACAAATGCTGTCTATAAAGGAAGTGTATTCCATTAAAGGAGCTCATGCTTATAAATGTTGAAACCAGTTAAGGCAAGAAGAGAGGGGGCCTAAAATACCGTGCTGGTTTTGGTACATCATACTCGGTGTCTTCCTAGCTATTTGCTCCATATATATTAAGCATTTAACGCATTAAAAACAGGGAAGTTAAAAGGGAGCGAAGATGAGGGGAGCCCAAGGGAAACGAATATGCGAAAGTCCAAGCCCTCACCATCGAATATTCTTGCATAATACTCCTTTTGCGGTTGTTTTAAATGGCCAACCAAGGGAAAACTTCATAAACCAAAGCACAAATTTTCTATAAAGTAGAATGTGAACCCTAAACCTACCGAGATCTCATTTTGTTCTTTTCTTTCTAAGTTAGTGTACCGTTTACTTAGAAAGGCAATGGATTCTCTTTTATGAATCGGTTTATAATGTTAACAAGGCTTAGTTAGTTGAATTGAAGCTTAACCATGGTAGTACTGCCACTTTTTGGTTCCTTGGTCATGCGCGCTCCACGCACTGAAATGAAAATGAATACCTTAACAGGACAAGCACGTCCACCATGCAAGGCTATCCTGAAACTTATGGTTGGCTGGTTGCCAAATTCATGGTTAATTGCAAATGACATACATAAAAATAAAAATAAGAAAAAAAGAATGTGCATTTAATGTTTTTATGGACGGGTAAAATATCATTTGTTTAGGTTGACTTCAATCTAATTTTAAACTGGATCTCAAAACACCTAAATGAAGAGGATGGGAAACCGGAAACACCAAAAGGAGAAAAAAATTTGAATTCATTATCAATACAGGCATGCTTAAAACAGATATCGGCATGATGCAACTGTTAAATTCCCAAAACCACGCTTTTCAGATATTTGATGATATATATATTGTTGAGTATTGATACCTGAACAATGTAAGGATCCGCTCCTTCATGTCTTCTTATGTGGTGATGCTCCGTTGCACTATAGTGTGTACTATAGGAAGTGTGTATCAGCAGAAACTCCGAAATTTGAGTCAGTTGACAATTATGTATGGAAAGATTGAGACGGAACCCAAGAAATTGGGCTTGACATGGCCCCAATATGAGGGTACAAAAATGACATTTGGAATGCTAATACCTAATATTGAGACATAATTGATCTTTACCTCGTTGCCTGCCCTACAAGTGTTACCTCCATTTATTCCAGTTGAGAATTTATAAATTTAAAATATATCCCTGAAAGACAATTTTCCACTCGCATTGCCGGTAATACATTGCAACTGTTAAAAAGGATGAACTTCTTTTGTATCAATAACAGAATAGGATAGTTCAAAAAAGTCATGACACGTGAAGATTTTGAATATCAATTTGAAGCGTTCTAAGTTTTTTCTCAACATTTGATAATTCTTCTTGAATCTCTACTAGCTTGTTAAGTCTATTCTGCGCTTGATCTTGGTAAGGTTTGCTAAGGACTTTCACGAAGGTATCCAAATTTCCTATGGCTTCAGTGAAATCCCTCTTCATGGCCTCTTCGAGTTCATATGCCAAGGTATCTGCTTGCCTTTTCACTTTATCTATCACACTCTGCTTACGAGTTGGGAAATTTAATATTGCTAGATACCTGAAATAGAAACAAATGTAAACCAAGCTATAAGCAGCAAGTCAACAACACAATCATACAACCAATTAGAATTTTTTTTAACCCTCCTACGAATTTTTCAATTGATGAAAAAAGTATGTCCAGGCATGGTCAAGACCAAGTACATAAAAACGGGTGACACTGCAGAAGATTTTTTAAACGTGCTTTCAACACCAGTAAACTCATCAATTTGTGAGATCTTATGCCTGATAGCAAATTATAGAGTGAAAATAAATGTAAAGCAAGTTACGATCAATGATTATGAAGCAGGCTAAGAGTGGGCTGATATTTTGAGTTGAATCATGCATGTTCATGTTCCTGTCGCTGTAATAGTGCATGTCACAGCACAGAAGCAAGCTACATTGCCTCAGTAATATTTTATTCTTACAGAAAAGAGCAGTTTAAATATGTTTTCCTTTTGTAAAGGGTCTAAGATCAAAATCTCATTAACTATCATGCATGCACACATGTAAAAATACAACCCTAAGGAATCAGAAAGGAACCCTAATTGAATATAATATATTACCCGCCAGCCGAACAAATACCAAGAGCAAGAAGATCTTCCAATGTGGTTGGCAGTACAGATGTTAGTAGTGAAGCAGATAAACCAGCCACACCTAGTTGACCAAAAGTCCCTACAAACTATTTTAAAAGGAAAACATTTTAGATCAGATTGATTTAGTGAGTACAATAATAATAAAAAAAAAAAAAAAATTAGTCCACAAAAACAAACTCAATATATAACATTTACTACTCAGGAATGTTCAGACAATATTCACTATAATGTATAGGTAGCCAGGATCAACAAAGATAAAACAACTTACTGTTAAAGAGAAAAAGACATCATCATCATATACCAAAAAAAAATCATTAACTTATGTTATTATATAGCTCCATGGGGTGTCAGAAAAATATTTTAGGGACTGCATACAGGCACTATTAAATGGCATTGCAAAGTTACAATAAAAAATGAAAGACAAAGCAGCAACCTGACTAAATCAGGCAGTCATAATAATTATTTCTCAACTTTTAAACATGTCTATAATCATTCATGTAATTTTGAGGCTTTTACTAGACCTGACAACTAGTACAGTTAACCATATTCTGAATGTTAATCTTAAGGCAATAGCCTAGACATCCTTCAAACTCATTGTTACTAGCTGATTCAGCTCTTCCGCAATTTTATTGTTCATAAAGCAGCAAAATCAATGGCAGATATTTTGTGACCTATAAAAGTTCTTAGTACATTCAAAACCAGCATCCATTCTGCTTCTACTCACGCAAATAATCATGCACACATTTAAATGAGAAAATCAATAATTTTACCAGATTACTTAATTGTGGATTGTTTGAAATTTTAAATGGCCAGGACATTAAATGCACATTTGATCCCGAGTTTCACATAAGTTTGATTTCGGTACCCAAGTTACATTAGCCATATTTCCCTTATAATTTTTAAATTGATGCAATTATGTTCCCCCATCAGTTTGTTGTTCAATTGAGGTAACATGTCCTTTTTTACTGACACGGAGAAGAGCTGTCTTTTTTCTTGTCATGACTGTATTTTGCTGATATAGCACAAATCTATATCAGCCCAATTGCCTTTGATTTAAGGGCAGTCTGATGAAGGACTTAACTGCAACAATTTCAAATCATGAGCAAAATCACTGCAATTGGAACAATTGGACCAAAATTTAACTTCTATAAAACAAGAGAACCCCCCCTCGGCAAAAAAAAACACACAAACAATAAAACCCAAAAATAAAAAAAGTAGTTTTACATAATTTTACAAAGAATTCCAAACTTACCATCTCTCGGACTTCTTGCTCAAGTGACTTTGAAGCTGCACTGCTGCTGAAATTTTCAATCACCTGACTGCCAGCTTGATCCACTTTCTTTAGTAATTCATACGTCTCAAAATTCATCTGACTATTTTCATGAATCAAGGTCCATCGTTTTTCAAAAGATTCCTTGTATAGTCTCCCTTGTTGGGTATTTTTGTAAAGTAACCAGTCTTCGTATTCTCCAAGTATTTTCTATATTCCATCAACAATATATTTTAGCAAAACATACCCAGCTAACTTTACATATAATACACTATTCATATAATTCAGCATTTATGTGATTTGATGTCTTGGGGCTATCCCAAGCAAAAGCAGGATAACCTTGATAGTTGAATCAAATTATTCTGATAAGCAAGAATAAACATGATTGCAATACAATCTGGACTCACTAGTTCACAGCTCCACTAGATGTTGAACATTACAAATCAAAACTAGGATCCTAAACAGGTCATAGCAAGAAACTAACCTGAGCAGCTGACACAGCAGGACTGATTATGTCATTTTGAATTCTTGAGGTAGCGGGAAGAGCATATTGTTCTCCTTTGAAAACATATGAAGCAATAATATCAAGATTTGACAATTGAAGAGTAGCTTCAACAAGCTCAACAACACGTGACTTTGTAGTTTCAATCTGATGATTTGGATAAAGGTATATTTAATAACATACCAATTAAGAGGGAAATAAATTATCCTGAATTTAAAAAATCACAAACTTTCTACAACATACCAAAGATACAGTTTGTCTCCTCCAAGATAGGCTCTCAGTTTCCATATTCAATGCAAAATCATTTACACTTTTAACGACATCATTTACTGCAGACAAATCCTGCTTCGCATATCGGTAGTCTTGTGTCACAAGAGTTTCACATGCAGAAATTAGTCTATCTGCAATTCCAATAGGTGTTTCAAGTTTGAGCCTCATTCTGTCCATTCCCAGGATTGTTGAACCATCTAGAAAGCTATACAGGAACTTTTCAAGCACATCGAAGCTGCTGGCACCATAATGAGAACCAGAGACTGATAATTCTTCATCAAGCTTCCCAACATTAGAAGCAGCCATAAGTTTTGCTTCAAGAGCAGATCGAGCAGATACAGGATACAATATCACATCTTCAGTATTCAACAATCTCTGTACGTTGTCCTTAATGAAAGACATTGCTTCCTCAAGCTGCATTGAATTGTGAATATAATGTAAACCTACTTTGGCTATTTCACTACAAAAGAACTACCTGAGATAATATCAGTTAAGACAATAACCAATATGAATCAAAAGACATAAATATACCTCATGAGTATTCTGATATATGTCAGCTTTGTTCAAAACAAAGACCACTTTTTTCTTCCACTGCTGAGAATAACGAAGAAAAGCAATCTGAAAAATAATATAAAATAACACATTGTCATACCCCTGCCTGGGCAATAATAACCAATTCCACACAAAAGGGAGAGAGGATGCCACATCCACAAAAATGACTGACCATACCTCACTTCCAGTTAAAGGGCGATCGGCAGAAATAACAAAAAGAAGTAAATCTGCACGGGGTACAAATTCCTCTGTAAGACGCTGTTGTCTCTGAAGAATCACATTAGTTCCAGGTGTATCAACAATGGTCATCTGTTTTCAAAAGAACCAAACAAACTACTCTGAGAGCACATCTTATTGCAGGCAGAAAATTATGGCCTGAGGGTATGAATATTGAATATAATATAAAAACTCTGTCTGAAACACAAGGTACAGGGAGGAACCATAACAAAATGAGAAAACCAGAAGTTAATTGACTAACTTCTTTAAGAATTGGAGCCGGAAGGTAGCAAATATATTGACCATCCGGATGCCTTTCACAACGTTGTTCTTCAATATCTAAGTCAGTATACCGTAAAAATGTGATCTCATTAGTAGTTGGAACAACTCCTTCTTTCAGATATCTTTCTCCAAGAAGCGCATTAATCACAGTAGATTTACCGGAGTTGAATTCCCCCTGATAATATCAAGATTTCAATAAAGAAAAAAGGCATGAAATTTTGTCAAATAACTTCAGCACTCTCTGGCATTTCTATTAAGTCTAAATGAAAAGTCTACATAGAAACCAGTTCATTTTGGCATCTCACCCAATGCATTTTGATTTAGAAAGTTCAGAATAAATGGTAAAAGGGTGCTGGAGACAGCCATCTATTCATCCAAAGGTGAAAGTTGGACAGTTCCTTTCATGACTGCTATGGCAGCAATCAAGTCCCACTGTAACATCAAACAAGAACAACACACTACCCAACTAATCATACATATTGAATAGTTCCGAGTAGAATTACAGGAACAAAGTACCGCGACCACAAACTATATGAAAAGACTCTGCCGAAGACAATAGCCTCAGAAGTTTGTAAAGACAAAAGAACCAACTACTCCTTATATGTGAAGCATGAATCGACACTCTAGTAAATGCTTATATATATGGAGGTAATCAGACATTCATGTGAATTATAAACAGACTGAATAACAAGGAGAAGAGAAGTTCATGACAAATAACACTTATTAGTTATGTAGTTTCTAATTAGATGAATTGAAAGAAGATTTTCATTTTGAAATTTAGAGCTAATACCAATGTATATCCCAGGAACCAGAATTTGATGAGATTCAGCACACAATTACCACTATAACCAGTAAGAATGGCTCATCAATTTGAGAAATTGCATCATTAAGAAGTGAAACCTCCTCCATCTGTCATTTGAAACAAAACCCCAATTTAACACAAAGTAAACAATCTACTGGTCAAAATACAGAATAATGAAAAAAGAATTACTTCAAATACCAAATGTTTTAATTAAAAGATCACCAGTGGTGCAGCTTTCTTGATAACGTCTATAGCTTCATTCAAAATGGATCTCTCTGTTTCTATTAACTGTTTCTCCCTATCCTCCAGTTTAATAAATCCAGCCACAACCTCCGTTTTACTCTGAAAACCATTATCCATGTTCAATAAATTATTCTCGCCAATATTGCTGCCACGATCATCTAGTATTCCCTTATCATTTCCATACCCAGTTTTAAACAGTTTGCGCATGAAATCATCATCAAACAAACCAAAATTTCCCAAACTAGCAACAAAACCACTAGCACCAGATTCGAGCAAACTCGATGCTTCAGCATAAGACATATTTTTCCCACCCAAAGTACACGAGACAAAAACAGGTATCTTCACGTTCTCACACACAGAATCAACTTCCTGACTAACACGTTTAAAATCACCACCGCCATATATAAGAAAATCAGCACCTTCGGATTTAGATGCATTTACTGCAGCATCTACGGTCTGGACAATCCTAGCTACCAAGGGAAGAATCACCAATTCAGATTTAGAATCCAACATTGTATTTCTAGCAACAACAGTAGGAAGACCTGCAAGAGATGTGAGAAACACATTACCTATGCTAGGATTTTACATTATAGACATTAACAATGGCTCACTGATGAAGCTCTGGAGTCACTACAATCACTTCACATTAAATGGGGCAAAAGTGTTTGAAGAAATGACTAAAAGAGAGAAGATAAGAACAAAGAAGAAAAAAAGCATTTTTATGACAAACCTTGATCAGAGAGCAAAACCCCACTAGCACCAGCAGCAGCAGCAATGTCAACACGCTCTGAAACCAACAAATAAGCGCGATCCTGAACGAGGGACTTCAACAAGCAAGCAGCTTCATAAAGCTTGCCACCACTTGCTTCAGTGCTAGTAAGCACCACAATCCCAACCCATTTCGACACAGCCTTGTTGATCAAATCTAATGCATCATCTCCACCGTTCAGAACCTCGTCAGGGTCCAATTGAAGAACCAGAGTAGGGACCTTAATTTCGGGTCTCTTGTACCCACCCGGGTACAAAGTTCTGGGCTGTGGCTGAGGCTGCTGATTTGGGCGGAACCCTTGTTGGTTGTATTGACCAGAGCCATTGGATTTGGAACCGCTGGAGATGGAGTTGAGGCAAGCATGCGTTCGGCGAAGGGAAAGTGGGAGGGAGCGAGAGAAGGAGGTGTGGCGGGGAAGAAATGTAGTAATCAGTGAAGAAGGGGTTGTTACGGAACATGGTACCATGGATTTGAGGAACGGAAGCAGTATGAACAAGGTGTGTGCGTGTGTGTGTGGAAACAAGAAACAAAAGGACAGATAGAAGAGAAGATAGAAGGAGAGAGATTGCGTTATCGGGCGCGAATGTCTCTCCATCACTGAATTCAGAGTTTTTATCTTCTTCCCACCGCATCTCGCCCAATCAAAATGAAGGTTCACTTTAATTCTTTAAATATATAATAAATAAGAGTTAGGTTTTTAAAAATAAAATTATGCATTGCTTATCTTTTTCAAAAGTTAAAAAAAATATTTTACATCTGGATGGGAAACATTAAAAATAATTTTTTGTATATAAAATTACTAAAAATTGTATGTGGTGGTAGTGTTGAGTTGACAATAAAAGAGTGTGTAAGTGCATATTTAGTATTTCGTTTTTTTAAGCTAAAAATTATTTTTAAGTTAAAAATAAAAAATAAAGCTAAAAATTATTTATGGTTATATAAGGTTATTCTGATGGATTTGAACAAGGGAAGATAAAATAATTTATTATTAAAATAAATTATTAAGATAAATAATAAAATTTATAAACACAAGTTTAAAATAAAGATAAAACTGTAAAATAAATATGATGATTCAAAAAAATTGACATACATCTTAAAAAAAACTCCTTTTGGGAGTTTTTAACTTTTTTTCTTTATTATAAATAAAATAATAAAAGCTCTTATTAAAAAATATTTAGCTAAACTTCTTCTTTTAAGGAATAAAAGAAGCAAAAAATAAGACTTGTCAAATAGACATTAAGTAAAAATAAGGTAAAAAGTTTACCAAAAAAAAAGTAAAATTAAATTTTAACAAAAATATTTGGTTTTTTACTTTTATTTTTTTATTTTAGTTTAAAAAATTATTTTATTTTATTTTTAAATAATCCAATGTACAAATTAAATAAAAATCACTTTATTTAAAAAATTGATTGTTGGTGGGGAAAAAAAAAACTCATTCTAGACCCATAAATAAATGTACATTAATTATACTTCCAAATTTACTTTCTTTCTAATAAGTCAACTGTGAAAGTGTCGATGCTTCTTGTACAATGTTATAGAGATTCATTTTGTGTGCCAAAGTTTTTTTTTTCAAAAAGTATGGGCCCCACAAAATATTGTGTGTAGAAAATTTCGTTGTGTCATGTTAAATGACAAATGTAAACCCCATATTATTATTATTTCAAAAAAGGGAAAATATTAAATTTCCATTTTTAAAAACTTCAGCTCAAAAGAAGAAAAAAGAGTATATCAAAGTTAAACAATAGACATCTATATTTAAGTTTTATATTAGTCTCTTGTCCTTATTGATTAGAAAAACTAATTAACTATACTAAACAATAAATTTTCTTATAAAGCAAATATATTGGTAATGAGAAAAGAGGCAGGAAGGTGGTTAGCTTTATCTAGAACTGCTGGTTCTCTGTGAAAGCAGAAAAGTTAACGATCAATGGCTACGCTTGCTTCATCCTCACCTACTCTTCTCTTCTCTGCATCCTCTTCCACCCTTTTCCCACTTTCACATTCTTCTACTTCTCTGCGCCTTTCTTTCTCTTCTTCCCTTCATTCCTCTTCCTCTCTATCTATTTCTCCTTCTACTTCTCTGGCATACCCTTCTTCAAGTTCTAGACGTTTAACTAGTCATGTTGCTGCCTTCAGCATCAGTGCCAGTGCTGCAGAGAATAAGAAGAAGGTACTCATCGTAAATACCAACAGTGGTGGACATGCTGTGATTGGTTTCTACTTTGCTAAAGAGCTTCTTGGTGCTGGCCACGCTGTCACCATACTCACTGTTGGTGAAGAAAGTTCAGACAAGATGAAGAAACCTCCTTTTAACAGATTCACAGTTAATGATCTTTATCTCATTCTGATTCTCAAAGACATGTTCTTTTTTTTCTTCTTTTTTTTATGTGTGTGTACATGTCTGGATTTAGCTACTTGCATTGAACGAATGTTGTGAATTTTAAGCATTAGATGGAGATTTTATTGTGGGGTTTGAAAAATATTCAGGAAATTGTTAGCGCTGGAGGCAGCACAGTATGGGGAAATCCAGCAGATGTAGGGAGTGTTGTGGGAGGGGAAGCATTTGATGTGGTTTTGGACAACAATGGCAAGGATCTTGAGGCTGTCAGGTTTGTTGTATTAATTCTTTTAAGCTTGTGTTCAATGTGTAAATAACAATTTCAATCCAAAAGCTTGTGAAAATCAATCTAATGATTTTTTATTAGACTTTCTAATACATCCCCTCACATAAAATGCCGTACGGCTTTAAAGAGTGAATAATAAAAAAATTCCATAATTAAATATTTATTAAAATAATGGAACAGTGAGAATCGAACTCATTATCACTTGATCGTTGAATCAGATACCATGTCAAGAACCAATTAAACCCAAAATCTTAAATTGTTAAATGAAGCTCCCACGAATGATTTTGTGTTTCTTTAACACAATGCTGCACTTGTTTGCCTTCTTGTCAACTCAAACAGGCTAACGAACAGTGGCATGCAACACATACAATTTTGTTTTAGTTTATGCTAGCATGCTGCAACTGTTAGAATTCTGCTAAATAAACTGGAACTTCTATGTAAGACAGAAATCCTAATATCAATTTTTCACTTCTAGGCCTGTTATAGATTGGGCAAAGAGTTCTGGTGCCAAGCAATTCCTGTTCATTAGTAGTGCTGGAATCTACAAACTAACGGATGAACTTCCACATGTTGAAGGGGTATGTTGAATATTCATCATAGCATTTGTAAAACCATTATGCTAATGACACTTACATAAGCTAAAGTGAAAAACAACTGTGGAACAGGATGCTGTTAAAGCAGATGCTGGTCATGTTGGAGTGGAGAAATACATTGAAGAAACTTTTGACAGTTGGGCAGTATTCAGACCACAGTACATGACTGGGTCTGGCAACAACAAAGACTGTGAAGAGTGGTTTTTTGATAGTAAGGGGAAAATTCTTAAACAAGTTTTTTGTATTTTTTATAAACCTTTAGTTCATATGAAGCTTTGTTTCAATATCTAGACCTCTTGAATATCTATACTAATTGACATCTTTGAAAAAAAATTGTACATTGTAATTTGTAGGGATTGTTCGGGATAGACCCGTGCCAATTCCGGGCTCAGGATCGCAACTCACTAACATATCTCATGTTAGGGACTTGTCCTCCATGCTTACTCTAGCTGTTGAGAAACCAGATGCTGCAAGTCATAGCATTTTCAACTGTGTGAGTGACCGTGCAGTGACACTAGATGGAATGGCCAAACTGTGTGCTCAAGCTGCAGGGCTCCCAGTTAACATTGTACATTATGATCCAAAAGCTCTTGGAATCGATGCAAAGAAAGCTTTCCCTTTCCGCATTACGGTAGTTACTAATACCCTATCTTCTATTCTACTTCAAAACCTGATGGCATAATGCATGGATACGGGTATAGAGTGTCTTGCTTAACATATTGTACAATATGTGGACATTTCTCAAGTTTCAATTATACAACCCTCTTTAAGTTATTTTTGACTAACCATTTATATAAACTATGTATTATTATGCAGCACTTCTATGCTGAACCTAGAGCAGCCAAAACTAAATTAGGATGGAAATCTACCTCAAACCTCCCTGAAGACTTAAAAGAACGGTTCGAGGAGTACATAAAGATTGGGAGAGACAAGAAGCCCATGCAATTCGAGCTAGACGATAAGATATTAGAGGCCTTGAAAGTTCCAGTACCTGTGTGATCCATTCATATCGAAAATGTAACAAACATTGATTAGGCAAGATTGTACGATTTCTTGTTTACTCAATTTAAATGTGTATTAAAGAAAGTTACTTCTCTCCTCATTGTGTAACATAAAACAAAAAGAATAGAGCTTAATCAGCTCAATTAGGATATCTTAGCATAAAAACCTTCCCAATCATCAATGCAAAGGATAGCAGGGTGAGTACTAGATGTATAACGGGATAGCCAAATAAATGATCTATAGAAACTGGTGTCAAATTCTTCACCGAAAAAATGACACCTGATAAAACCCGAAACAAATTAGATACACTAACCAGGGATGAAATATTTAGCAAACTTTAGAGAAATGAAAGTATTAGAAAAAGATGCTACGAATATGAAGAGGTTGAGAGTTTTGGCCGAGATTATATTCATGAATGGAACTTGAGTGAAATTTCCGTTGACATGGTTGCATGCAAAATATCATTTCCATTCCAACTTGCACCTGTTCTTGCAACACACCATTTCAAGTGCTCACTAAACGCACTACCGGTGCTGATTTAAAAAACACATTTGTCAAAAGCAAAAAAAAAAAAAAAAAAAAGGAAACAATTGACTAAGTAGATATGGAAAAAGAGTAAATATCAAGGCCCGCTTGTAGATATTCAAGAAAAGCACCATTACGGTAGCTACAGTCAAGTTAGCTATGCCCAATGGCTTTCGGATACCATGCTTGCAATTGGTTTGCTTTGTTTATAGCCTACAAGGCACAACGCAAAAATACGATGCCGTCTAAAGTATTGAAATAATCTGCATATGGAATCAAGTGCAAAGATATAGAAAAAGAGAGCAGAAACCCAGCAATCAAAGATAACAAATTGTCATCAAATGGCACAATATAGTCCAAAAATTTCTGCAGCTAATGCCATTTCTTGTCTTGCCAGACATATTAAGATCATATACCTGGTAAACTTCAAAAATGCCATGTTATGGAATAGAAAATCTAAAATACATAGATTTAAGCTAGCTATTGGGTCTGAAACAAGTATGTCTGACGCAAATATTAATTGGCTACAAATTAATCTGAAGTAGAAGTTGCATTCCTAAGTCCTAAGAATATTCCTAAATCCCAAGGCCCTTCAGTTTTGATTCCAATTCATCATGATCAGCATCTTCCTCAGCCTCCTCATCAATATCTTCTCCTTCAGGATCATTCTCATCCAAAGGACCCAGCATATTAGGTGAATTTGCAAATATATTCTTCAACTCAACAATCCCGTCATCAGAAATGAAGTTGCCATTGATGTTTAGCAACTTAAATCCAGGTTTATGCACAACAGCTTCAGCCAACAACCTAGCTCCTGACCATGTGATCAAGTTTGTGCCCAAATCAACTTCATTTAATTGGTCATGACCTCCTTCCAGTGCCTTGATGATCAAAACTGCACCTTCATCCTTCAGTTCATTCTCAGATAAATTTAACTTAGTGAGGAATTGTTTTGATGATATACAGGCAGCCAAACAAGTAGCAGCTTTCGCAGTAAAGTCATTCCCAGCCATATCCAAAATTTCCAGTGATGGTGCAGATTCCTTGAGCACGTTAGCAAGGACTTCTGCACCGTCATCCTCCAAGTTCAAATAACTAAGATATATCTCTGTAAGATCTGCAAATACAGGTATAACTTTACTTAGAGCAACTCCAGCTTCTACACCAAACATGTTGTCACGCAAGTCAAGCTTCTTCAATTGTGTACAAGTCCCAAGTGATTCAGCAAGGGCAACTCCACCATCAGAGCATACTCTGGTAGATGAACACCGAAAATCTTCCAAAGCTGGGGAACGTTTCACAAGTTCAGATATTGCAATTGCCCCTTCATCTCCAGTCATGTTATTGTGGAAATGAAGAACTCTAAGCTTCTCAGTGGAAGGAATCAATTCAGAAACTGCTTTTGCAGCTTCCTCTGATATACCATCATTCATCAAATAAAGCTCCTCCAAGTTATTTTGCGATTTTAGGAGCGACCGAAATGCATTAATTCCCTTTTCGCCCATGGCATTAGTTGAGAGGTTCAGATACCTTAAAGCACAACCTTCCAGCGCAGAAGAAAATATAGTCATTACTTCAAGAGCTTCTGCTTCTGGTCTTCCAGCAATAAAATCTGATAGATCTACCTCTTTCAATTGATCCTTAATTGATAATAGGATGGGTTCAGCAACACGAGCAGCATCCAAGCCAAAACTTCTATTGCAGAAACGTATCTTGGTATAAGAGTTTGGTCCCCTCAATGGTTTCAAAAGTTCTGCAGCATCCTCCCCATTAATAAAGGCTCTGCGACCCCCAGATATGTCAAAAACAGTTTCAGCAGTTGCACTAACCTTTTCAGATATCAACTCTCCATCCTCCTTCCCTCTTGGGCCTCTTTTCAAAGCTTCCAACATGAGCTTACTCGATTCCTTGGCATAAATTTGCACAGCAGAACTCCCATCACCATCAGGCTCCTTCTCAAAGTGTTGGGTTGCAGTCACAAAAGCTGTATCCTCGATTTGTTTTGCATCCTCCCCAGCCTCTTCTTTGCTAAGCAGTCCATACTTTCTAGAAAAAATGGACGGAGTAGTAAGGTTCTTGGTCATCCGTTCTACAAGCATTAGTCTAGTACTCTGGCTAGGGGGCCATAATTTGATTGAAAGTGGGCGATGTTGGTATGACTGTGCTGTAGAATCCATACCAAGGCAACCTGGAAACAAGTACAACAACATTTACAGGTTTCTGACAAAACCATACGGTTCACCAGGACTAGAAAAGAGTAGGAGACAACTGCTTATGGAAATTCTTTAATTTGAAACTTTTGATTACTAGAGTATAAAATCAAAATCAAAACCAAAGAACCATAATATGCATATTGCGACACATTCGGGTATTAATGACAACATTAAAACCTAAAAAAATAAATTTTATAACTCAATAACTACAGTATAAAATCCGAAAATATGCCACATAAAACATATCGTGCAAACTAGATACCTTGAGGACTTAAAAACAAAAAGGGTACATAACATGAACTCTACGAGATAGATCTGGTGTTTCAGACATAAATGCAGTTTCAACATCAAAAACGAACATTTTTAATAATTATTGTTACATAAATATGATAAAGAGCAGAGCATTAAATAACAAAGATCCAATTGGGAAGAGTGCGCTCCCTGAGTATATTCACATGGGTTATTCAAACTTCCCAAGACTTAAAACTAAGGGGACAAAAACAATGAATTTTAAAAATTAAAGAGTAACCAAACAGAGCAACTATGGGACCATACCAGAAAGAAAGTTGAAATGAAAAAGGGGCAAAAAAGAAAAACCCTAAAAGCCCGAGGCAGAAAGTAATAATATAACAGCGTTATCCAGAACAAACAGAGAACAGAAAGAAACAAGGTAAAGGATTCAGTACCTGAGTGAGAATGCAATTACGAACAGGAACAGTGAAACCCTAGGCAGAGTCTGCAGCAGAGAGACGAGAAGAACAATTGTAGTTTTTGTTCTGATCTTTTTTATTATTATTTGAGAACTTTGATGACGATTGGTTAGAGTTAGAGCCCTTTATGGTGGCACTGGTTTCTGGTGTAGCGGGGAAAAAATAAAAATTAACCTAATGTTGGATCCAAATTTTCCAACATTTGGTAAGCGTGCGTTTACAAAATTGGAGGGAAATGATGAAAAATTCAGTGAATCCAATCAAGCTTTTAAAATGCCCACATTGAATTGAAAACCAGAAGCGTGAATTTTCCGCTTCATCTCCACTCCACTTTATTTATGTCAGATGACAATTATAACCTCATCTTGTCGTTATATTTACGTTTCTCTGGTGACTGACGTCATTCACACACAGATTGTGGCTGTGACCTATATAGCACCGATTGACATTTCAAAATACATGAATTATCGTGTGCGATAATTTTTTTGATAATCTAACGTTTGGATATTTACAATGTTTAAAATTTCATTATATATTATGAAAAAAATTGATTGATGTTTTATCAAATTGATATAATAAAATTATATAAATATCGAATAAATCTCATTAAAGTATATAAGATATTTTTAATTTAAAAATATAATAATAAATATTTATATCTTATGTTTCTTTGTATAATTAATAGGTATTATAAATTTAGTTTTACTTTTTTGTTAAATTTTTGAATATTAAATATGATATACACTATATAAATTAAAAATATTATTTAATATCAAAATGTGTCTTAATGTATCAAAATTTAATATTTTTTTAAAATTAATATGTCAGAATGTCATATCATCTCCTAAGTGAAAATATTTTTTATGTTCCAGGACCACTTAATGATTTGGTGCTCCCTCTTACAACACTATTTTTTTTTTCTTTTTTATCCCTATTATTTTTTTTTTTTTCAATTTTATCCTCCTATTTACACTAAGAGACCACCTAAAAAATAGTGATCGGGACCACAATAAATTCTCTCCTCCTAAGTTGTTTCTTGTTGAAACTTGAAAGTCGATTTGTTGAATTTCCAATTCCACGGCTATCAATTTGAGGAAGGGCCTAAAAATCAACAATCTGGTGGTGTTTTATACTCTTCTCATTTTTTTATTTTAAAATCATTTTATAGAATAGAAATATTATAAAAAATTGTTTAATAAAATTTCTTCTAAAAAACAAATTTAAAAGCTTGAGGCGCTAGTGGTCAACTGGTCATATTAACAATGCATGAAAATAATTTAAAACCTGAGTATACAAGAGTTAAAAATCGAATAATCAGCTTACCAAAAACAAAATAAATAAAAAACGAATAATCAGTGAAATGGGCACAATTTTAATAGCATTTGATACAGGCTAATTGTGAACGTTAAGTAGATAAGTTAGGATTATTTCAGGTTGGGCTGGCCCATTTAAGCTAATCTGGCCCACTTGAGTCAGCCAATTGTAATTTCACCTATCGCAAACTAAATGTATATAGTCTGGGTTAAAATTGTTGGTCTAGTCTCATCTTTGGAACACGGCGAATTATTCAATCCACCTCATTGGTCATATTTTATTTACTAATTTATATAATTAAAATTCAAATGTGCTGATTTCAAATGATTTGATTAATTAAACTGTCTTCAAATATTTAAAGTTAATGGTTACATAAAATTGGACATTGATACTGAATTTAGTTTGATAAGAAAGAACTAGATGACATGTGATTGGATAGCCCTTCGCGAGAATGCTGAGAGATGTGAGGGTTCAGAAAAGGCTGAGTGGAAAAATGTGTATTTAGATGATGGAGGAGAATATCTTACAGGCATAATGATTATGAAATATGCACTCATGAAATACACATTGTGTAAAGTGATACCAAAGTTTTCCTCGGGGAAACATCAAATATTGAATTCCCTTTTGTTCGTTATTCATATCTTAGAAAGACAGAGCAATGTGCTTGAGGTTAGCCAAATTTTGTGCCTGCCCATGTAGAAGTTTAAAAAGGGAATTTATTTATTTTTATTTTTTTTTTTTTGATAACAAAAGGGAATTTATTTTGAAGGAGTGGTGTTGGGACACGATTAATCTTACATGTTGCATGAAGAATGGCATATGAGTGTAAAGAACCTTGGGATACACCACCCCAAAAGTTAGCTCAAAGAGTGAGAGTGTCCAAGGTCTTATAAAGGCCACATTAGTTGCCCACACAATTAATGTGGGACTATATATCTCAACACGCTCCTCACTGGGCTAGAAGCGTGGAACTGCACAGGCTCAATTTTTGGTTTACCTTTTTGTGCTTTTTGTTTTAATTCCACTTTAAAGTGGGGGCGGTGAGGATCGAACTTGTGACCTTGTAGTCACTCAAGCTCTGATACCATGTAAAGAATCTTGGGATACACCACCCCAAAAGCTAGCTCAAGGGGTGGGAGTGTACAAGGCCTTATAAAGGCCACATTAGTTGCACATACAACCAATGTGGGACTATATTTCTCAACACGCCCCCTCACACAAGAGCCCATTGGGCTTGAAGAGTGGACAATGCAACAGGCCCAGCCTACCTGTGCTAAGAAATGCCACAAGAGAAAGTGGGGGCGGTGAGGATCGAACTTGTGACCTTGTAGTTACTCAAGCTCTGATACCATGTTAAAAACCTTGGGATACACCATCCCAAAAGCTAGCTCAAAGGGTGAGAGTGCCCAAGGCCTTATATAGGGCATATTAGTTCCCAAAAGCTAGCTCAAGGGGTGGGAGTGCCCAAGGCCTTATAAAGGCCATATTAGTTGCTCATCCAATCAATGTGGGACTATATATCTCAACACGCCCCCTCACGCAAGAGTCTTTTAGGCTAGAAGGGTGGAAATTGCACAGGCCCATTTTTTGTTTACCTTTTTGTGCTTTTTTTTATTTTAATTCCATTTTTTAAAGCGGGGGACGGTGAGGCTCTGATACCATGTAAAGAACCTTGGGATACACCACCCCAAAAGCTAGCTCAAGGGGTGGGAGTGCCCAAGGCCTTATAAAGGCCATATTAGTTGCCCATCCAATCAATGTGGGACTATATATCTCAACACGTCCCCTCACACAAAAGCCCTTTAGGCTAGAAGCGGAAGCGTGGTGGGCCCATAACCCACAGGTCCCTGGATTGAACTTGTGACCTTGTAGTCACTCAAGCTCTGATACCATGTAAAGAATCTTGGGATACACCACCCCAAGAGCTAGCTTTTGGGGTGGTGTATCTCAATGTTCTTTACATGGTATCAGAGCCTCACCGTCTCCCGCTTTAAAAAGTGGAATTAAAATAAAATAAAATAAAAGAACAAAAAGGTAAATCAAAAATGGGCCTGTGCAATTTCTACGCTTCTAGCCTAAAAGAATCTTGCGTGAGGGGGCGTGTTGAGATATATGGTCCCACATTGATTGGATGGGCAACTAATATGGCCTATATAAGGCCTTGGGCACTCTCACCCTTTGAGCTAGCTTTTGGGGTGGTGTATCCCAAGGTTCTTTACAAGCTCTGATACCATGTAAAGAACCTTGGGATACACCACCCCAAAAGCTAGTTCAAAGGGTGAGAGTGCCCAAGGCCTTATAAAGGCCACATTAGTCGCCCACACAATTAATGTGGGACTATATATCTCAACACGCCCCCTCTCTGGGCTAGAAGCGTCGAACTGTACAGGCCTAATTTTTGGTTTACCTTTTTGTACTTTTTATTTTAATTCCACTTTAAAGTGGGGACGGTGAGGATCGAACTTGTGACCTTGTAGTCACTCAAGCTCTGATATCATGTAAAGAACCTTGGGATACACCACCCCAAAAGCTAGCTCAAAGGGTGAGACTGCCCAAGGCCTTATATAGGCCATATTAGTTGCCCATCCAATCAATGTGGGACTATATATCTCAACAATGAGCAAAATATTTTTGGTAAGTTGGATTGAAACAATAATGCTTTAGCAACTTTGAGAATGTGTCTCAGGCTTTCTACGCAACTTCTTCCATGAACAATTCCTTTAAAATAATAAAGTTTTAGTAAAAGAAAATTCATGCTCATTATCACTTCTAACAAATTTAACCTCAGTATCCAATTGCATTATAGTTAAAATTGACAAACTTTTATACTTGTAGTTGCCCCGAAATTAGCCTTCAACTGGAAGACCCAAATATGGCTATTATAATCTTCCAAAGCAATGAGGAAGTAGTTATGGCCATGCTTAGAGATAGCGGAAAAAATATCCCAAATATTAAAGTGAATTAATTCAAATATTCTTGAAGCTTTATTGACACTAATATTATAGAGGACAACTTTTTTGTTTAGCTTAGTGGGATGTATCGTATACAATATGCTTATTATATAAATAAACAAATAAAAAGTAGTAGTTTTTAATCAACAAATGCAAATGCTTTTGAGAAAGAAGACTTAACAAAAAATATTACACATGAATCAGATGAAGAAGGGAATGGGTTGCTGTGAGAGAGAAAATAATTTTCTAGAAGAATGAAAAACCACTTACTAACAATAATGGGAAAAGTATTTATAAAGGAGAATAGGTGACGCCAAATAAAAATAAATGCAAACAGTAGTTATAATGAAACTAAACTAAAATAGTTACAATACAACTACTTAGTTCACTGTAAAACTCTCCCTCAAGATGGAGAGTGGATATCCAACACTCCCATCTTGGACAGCAATGGAAACAGAGAAGAAGAATAAGGTAGAGACTTAGTAAAAACATCTGCAAGCTGAAGGCTAGATCGAATAGGCAGCAACTTAATGATTCCATATGAGACCTGATCACGTACAAAATGGCAATCTATTTCAATGTGTTTGGTGTGCTCATGAAAAGTATGATTGGAAGCAATATAAATAGCAGTTTCATTATCACACAAAAATAAAGATGGAGAATCAAGTTTGAAGCCCAATTCATGCAAAAGTTGAGTTAACCAACGCCATTCAGCAGCAGTGGCTGCAAAGCTCTATATTCAGCCTCAACAAATGATATTGAAACAGTTGTTTGCTTCTTGGCTTTCCAAGAAACCATAGAATCACCAAGAAAAATACAGAAGCCTATAACAGATTTCCTAGAATCTGGGCAGCCTCCCCAATCTGCATCACTAAAAGCTTTAAGTTGCATGGAGGATGAAGATAGAAAGAAGACCCCTTGCCCAGGTCTGCCTTTGAGGTATCTCAACAAATGATGAGCAGCTTGCAAATGAATAATGCGAGGTTGAGA